CCTGTCCTTCCTTTGAGTACACACAGAGGCTTTTAATTTCTATGAAGTTTGTTGTATTCTCTCACAGAGATCCATCTGCCTCTGCCTGAGTGCTGGGATTAGATTGCACTATCACTTCAGGCTTAGTGCTTGTGTTTTAAGTATCTTATCTAAACAGCACTGTTGACCAAACCAAGGTCAAGATTTGTTCTTATACAAGATTGTAACTGCTTTATGACCATTAGGTCTATGATCCATTTTGGCTGAAGTTTTGTTTGTGGTATGAGGAAAGAGTCCAGCTGCATTCATTCTTTTGCATATGGACATCTAATTGTCTTAACACCGTTTATTGAAATGATATGCCAGGCACTTGACACCATCTACCTACTTTCCACCTCATAAAACCCTATGGGAAGACTGGCATGGTGGTTTAATCCCAGTACTTGGGAGGCAGAGGCAGGGGAATCTCTGAGTTCCAGGGCTGCCTGGTCTACTGAGTGAGTTCCAGGACAGACAGGGCTACACACACACACACACACACACACACACACACACACACACACACACCAAACAAACAAACAAACAAACAAGCAAAAACAAAAAAACCCTGTCTCCAAAATCAAAAACAAACAAATAACAACACCACCAATCAACCAACCAACCAACCAAAAAACCCTATGGGTAGGTATTATTCCCTCGTCACTGATGAAGACATCAAATCTTAGAAAGATCAAATAATCTGCCTGTGGCCATATGACTGATGAATGCAGGAATCTGCATTTGAACTCATGTTCTTCTGACTCCAGACACTATGTTATGTTTTAAAAACATTTTATAAACTATAAAGTAACAGTGTAGAGATGTCTTGTTGAAACCCTGAAGAGATAGGGAATGTTTAGAGAGAGAGAGCTGACAGCCTAGTGCTGAGAAAAAGAAGAAACAAAGGCAGAGAGGACTGCTTGTATCTGTGGTTTCATAAGAATAGTGGTTCTCCGATGTTTCTATTTTATATACACGCTTTTCAACTAGGACAACTGCTCTCTTGACTTTGTGACTATTGTATATGTGATCCACATAAAACTCCCCGTTAAGGCACCCAGAGCACAGAATTGAGGAAAAATACCAACATTTGGTCTCGGTAAGTGCCTACTTTCTTTAGCATCATGTTAGAAAAGCACTAGTGATCAAAAGACCCTTCCTAAGAAGTGTGTATACCAATTATACAAATTATTATGTGCCATGCATTAAATGCTATCCAAGCATCTACGGTTTTCATCTTGATACCGTTTTGTTCTCTCCTCATTTCCCTGAAATGGTCCAGAATCTCATCACATACAGCCATTTGTAACTTTATCTACTTTGAGAGTGGAACTGCCTATTCCCTTAACAGCACATAGCTCTCTGATGTTTTTCAAGTGAATAGTAGACTAATATAAAGCGTGAATCAGCAATCCTGCGAACAGTGGGGTAGAAGGTTAGTTTTAAGACATTACGTAGGATTCTCCTAGAATACTAGATGACTATTTCAACAATGGCACAGAGGTACACCGGGCTCTAGTGAAAATGTTCCCGTTCAGCCTGTCTCCTTTAAAGCAGGCTCTGCAATCGGCTGTCAATGCTTCCTCTTTCTAGCGTGGGGCAGCTTGGTCTCAGGAATTCCACTCAGGGAAAGTTTTTCTGAAGTAAGAGCTGTGTACGTCAATCCTGTGGCTTGATAGGCACTTTTTTTTGTTTTTTGTTTATTTGTTGTTTTTTTTGAGACAGGGTTTCTCTGTGTAGTTTTGATGTCTGTCCTGAATCTTGCTCTGTAGACCAGGCTGGCTAAAGGCATGTGCCACTGCTGCTTGGCGATAGGCACTTCTTCCTCCTGCTTCAGGCCGGACTTCTGCAGTTAGAACCTTGTGTTGGGTGGCTGACTGGGCCACAGGGTTTTTCATCTGCTGCCGGCCCTTCAGCATCGCCTGAACACAAAGACCGAGCACACATACATCGACAGGAAGCTTGTTTTCCTTGTTTTGAAACAGAAAGTTCTTGTCCTCTTAATATCTTGAACAGATTTGTGTTTCCTGTGGGATAACTTGGTGTCCTTTGCCTGGGTCACTTAGAGTGAATCATAACCCTAAGATTTTCAGGGCCCGGAAGCCCATATGTCATCTTTAAGTATTTAAAAATTAAAAAGGTAGCTAGCTATATAATCATTAAATTATGTTTCATCCTCCACCATCAACAAACGTGCATAAAGTGAAGGCTTTTATATGATCGAAAATTGGCAAAATATCAGAGATGCTTGAATTTGATCAGTATCAGTACAATTTTAGAATATATTACTGTAGGGATGAATTCCATTTTCAAAATAAAATAATTTTTTTTCATATTTTAAGAAATTTCCTAGCATATTCCAAATTCCCTGTGGAAGATAAAGGTAAGAAATAGAGCATATTTAACACATGCTAATAAGTTAAATTGCTACACAGAGCTGAACATTTTTGACTCTTTGAAACAGTAATTTTGTTAGCTTTTTGACACGGATGCTTTTTGTGGATTCAGGCTCCTGTTCAATGCTTTAGAATCAGTGTCATGAGTCTTGTTGAGTTATGTCTGAACCTACATGTATACACATTTAAGAACAATGTCACAAAATCAAATATCCCTCGACCTCTGTGTGAACTGTTGGGGGACACTGCACTAATCTTAGAGTACTTCTGGAACTTTAAATGTCAGTGTGCTGAGAGACAAGGGAACAAACGCTCAGCCCTCCTGGGAAGTGCAATACTGCTGCGCAAGAATCTACTGCGTTCAAGGAATCTGAGAGGAGGGACCTGCCAGGGTAGCTAGACTTTTACCGGAGCAGCCCCACACACTGGGATCTGAGACAGGAGAGGTAAAGAGTCACTTGTTGGGGCCAGTTATTCATAGAAGGTTGTATCATGTTAGGAGCTTGAGTGTGAGATCTCAAGTAAGAGGTGTGCTCATGTGTCCATTAAAATATCTGTGTGTATGTGTTTACAATTTGCAAGTCCCCAAAAGCATTGCCCAAGAGAACAACCCTGTCCCTCTTTGCTCTTAAGGGCACTGGTGATCCTAGGCTATGGAGTGAGGTTAAAGAGATGATTTTTCTATCCAAACTCTTTTTTTTTTTTTTTTTTCCCGAGACAGGGTTTCTCTGTGTAGCTTTGAGCCTTTCCTGGAACTCGCTCTATAGACCAGGCTGGCCTCGAACTCACAAAGATTCGCCTGGCTCTGCTTCCTAAGTGCTGGGATTAAAGGCGTGTGCCACCACTATCCAAACTCTTATTTCAGTGACTACAGCATAGGGATGGGAGAGGAGCATGGTCACTCAGCTAACACAAACAAGCCTTGCCTGCTGTCTTGTCACTGTCATCTGAAGGGCCATTCCGCTCACTGGCTGTTCATTTTTAGGCCTGCAGAAGTTAGAATGAAGTTTTTCATCCATTTCTTCAGTCAATAAGTGTTTGCCAAGCATCCCATTTTCCAGATGTTATTTGTGAAGATCTCACAAAGTAGAGGACACGGACTTGAACATGTATGGTAATATTGTGAGCCAGGCATGTAGATGTGCTTACAAGTGCTCCTGGGGCATAGAGGAATGAACAGCTGCCCATGCCAGTGCTGGGTGGCTTGGAAAAGCTTCAGAGGTGTTAGAATAAGGACAGCTTCCACTAAATTCTAAGTGCCCTCTTTACTCCAGACCTGTCTATCTAGTCATCTTTAGTTCCCATAGTCACTTGTGGAAATCATTATGCTTGCTTTACATTACAGAAGTCAACAGCCAGAGATCAGAAAGGCTAATTAGCTACTTGTCCAAGGCCACACAGGTGGTAAATGATAGTTAAGAGTTGCAGTTCCCAGATCCTCCTGACGCCAGCGGATGGACTGCCCTGTGTTCTGATGTTTGACCTCTCCAAAGATGTATAAGGACGTCACTGGAGAGCATGGGAAGTAAGGTCATCGGGCAAATGCAGTCGCAATTGATCTCAAAGGTCTGCCTTACGCATTTACGCAAGAAGCACGCTGAAAAGCATCCTCACAAGGACGAGGACACAGAGGCGGTGAAGCGGGAGTGCCCTGAGGGTGTGAATGGGGGTCTGTGAATAACCCTTTGCTTAGTTACTAGTCATTTGGTTAGTATGTGGATTCTCCCGTCAGCATTCTTACTCTCCAGGAAGTGCCGGACGGAGTGCGGAGGAGGAGGTATGAGAGATCTTTCAGTGGGTGTTTCTCAAGTTCTCTCTGTGGCCTCCTTTCCCTTTTGGGGAAGCAGGGAACTGAACCCAAGGTCTTGCACGTTCTTGGCAGCCTCTCACTGAGCTACACTTTCAGTCTCGGTGTTTTTCTGAGCCAGTTTAATCTTAATACAGGTTTTCCAGATTTCCGCAGCAACCAGTGTTCTAGGTGAGCAAACTTCTGTCTAGCCTGGAAGATTCCATGAGCTCATATGGGTTCTGTTACATAGCCTCAGTAATGCTTCAGCCTGAGGCATCCACGAAAAGGCATCCACGAAACACAAAACTATCTGATTCTCCTCAGCCAATTTGTCATCTGTTCGTAGGCGTTGTCCAAGTCATATCTCCCGAGCCATTTCCCCTAGGAATTAGGGAGGAATTGCTGCTTTCACTGATACACACATTCGCACTGCTGATTTGTTCCAGTTAGCCTGGATAGTTTATTTGTTCGTTTGTTTTTTTTGAAGATCTTCTGCGGTGTAGACAGAACCACCAGCGGATTAACTTCAGCATCTGTGGGTAAGTCTGCACAAGGCCTCCCCTGCCTTCTTCCGGCCCTTGGCACGTGGTGGTGGTGCTCGGCGCTGGAACGAAAGCGTGAAGCCCGGGCGCGCAGCCAGCTTGGTGTTACGTATCCGACTTTACCCCAAACTCTCCAAGTCCGTCCCGGGTGACCCCTAGGAGCTGGTGTAGGGGGCGTGTCTGGCGCGGGGCATGCCGGGCGGGCAGGTGGGCAGGTGCCTGGGCGGGGCGCGCCGTGGTTGGAGGCGGGCGGAGGGGCGGGGGCCATGCACCCGGAAGAGCGGCCCGCGGAGCCAAGGCGACAGGCGGCGGCTGGGGGCCCGACATGGACAAGCTGAAGAAGGTGCTGAGCGGCCAGGACACCGAGGACCGCAGCGGTCTGTCCGAGGTGAGCGCAGCCCTGGCAGCCAGGATTCCTTGGACAGCTGCCCTGCTCCCCTCCCACTCGCGGCGCCGAGCTCAGCCGGGACAGTGCCACAGGTGGCAGCGCGGGGACTTTGCAGAGGGCGTGGCTCCCGATCCCTTCCCAACTTCCCCTCGGGAGGACAGGGGCTCTGGTGCGAGACTCGAGAAATCTTTGCGAGTGGAAGTGTGGGTCCCGGGGCCTCCTGGGTCCCTGGACCTGAAGCCCTCCTCCTTCCCCCGCCACTGCAGCTGGACCGGCCAGGGCTCTCCCTTTGGAGCCGGGCGAGGCCGGCGGCCTTGGTGGAAGGAGCCCCTCCTGGATCACTGGCTGGCTGGCTTTGGTTGTGGGATGTGAGTTCCAGACCCGCCCTTATTCATACTGCATAAGTAGTAGCGAAACTCCGTGAATGTGAATGCCTGGTTAACAGGGATCTACGAGGTCTCTGAGATTCCAAGGTTCATTCCTAGACTATAGATTCCCTAGCACCCCCGGAGACTGCCAGGGTGTTTGTTTTATTAGGGCTTTGATGGCTCGGAAACCTGCCCAATAAGGCCTTGTGCTCCAGAGCCACTGAGAATGTCTTATTTTAGGTGCCTTGGGAGTTTGTTTACGTTTTCCTTTCTCGAAGACAGAATTAACATTTTCACTTGATGTATCCTTGGCCCCGGTTTCCCCTTCTGTGAAACCGGGGTGTTGAACAAGATGATACGACCTTTTCTCCTTGGAAACCGAGTTCCTCTCTGATATTTACTTGTGTTTCTCGTGGTTTTCCCAACATTCTGCTCTCACTTTTGTGGTTGATTTTGTTCTGAGTTTAGTCTTTGCGAAAACACAACCGCACTTCAAAGGGAATAAGAGTTTATTTTGAAGCCAAGTAGAGCGACCATGGCCTCAGGGCGGATGCGGATGACTGCAAATTCAGTGTTCCAGCATAACAGTTGGATACATTATTATAGTAACAAAGTAATAAATCAAGGAACTTGCTAAATGTATCAGTGGCAACACTAAGTAGGTGGTTACGGCCACATGGCAGAATCTCAGTTGTAGGGTCTCTCTCTAGGCTACTCTAAAACTCGTGGATTGTGGAAGCTTGGGTTTCATTAAGTTAAATTCCAAGATATTGTCACCTGTTAGTCACAGGTGCGCACGCTATGACTGTTTAGGGGGAGCTAAAGAGACCCGGACGTTAGCTGCGATCAGACTCTGAACCTGCCACCTTCCAACCTCTCCACAACCATTAGGATTAGAATCAGTCATTTTTAATGTTTTAAAAAAATTTCATTTTTTATTTCTGGCTTCTTGTGAACTTTCGTATGAGATGAAGCCTAAGAAAGCCTCAGGACTTAGTTGACCCTCATTGTCACGTGAAGATAAGCTTCATAGGAGTCCACAAGCTGTTGTACAAAGTTGGGGCTGAAGCGGAGACTGGTGTCATGTTGGCAGCAAGTGTTCTTCATCTGTAGCAGTGGGTGGGCCTTCAGGAGTGAAGAGTGTAGCGTTGAAAACAAATGCAAAGTTTTCCCCCCAAATCGTGAATGCTTGTGTGGAGACAGTGAAGGGCTTTGCCCTCCTCTTAAGCTCAGGCACATATTACATCTATTTTTAAAAGACTGTTGGCTTCACTCTTGTTGGAAAACATTGCCAGTTTCCTCTTTCCTAGTAAGATTCCTGTTGATGTGCGTCATTCTGTGGCATTTCCAGGTCTTGAACTCCAGAAACTGTTCTGTAGCCAATAGGATTCGTTGTCAGGGATGTTTTGGCTTCGTGATCACTTACCAGGTCCGGCCTCCTTTTAAGTACTAACTAATGTGGGCACACTTTCCATGGTTTTGAGCCTGGAAAAACTGGAGGATTCTGTGGTGAAATTCCTGTTTGTGTGGTTAGTTGGATGATGTTGCCTTCAAGTCTTTTCAGTTATATAACTCGAAGAGGTTGCCGGAGAAGTCTGAAAACATTTTATAATGTATTTTAATGCCAACGGTAACAGTATGTTTTGTTTCTTCTGTCTCTCCTAGGTAGCTATAAAGTTGGTAGAACTCTTAGTCACAGTCTATGCTAAGTCTTCTAATTGACACCCTGTCATCATAAACACCCTTAAGTCCTGGTTTCAGTGCAGTCCTTTCTGAAAGAATAGGCTTTGTGTTTTCTGGAAAGGGTTCTTGGGACAAGGAAGGTCTGAGGGTGTCTGATCATAACATGCAGGAATACAAAATACAACAGCGTTCCTTTCTCACCTCCTGGTTGCCAGCCCCACCTTCCTGGACAAGCCTTAGCTCTGGCACTTGGCAAGAATCCCCCTGCCTTCTCCATCCTGGAATCAAAGGGACCTTTGTGAGTTCCTGCCAGTCAGACAGCTTGTGATTCCCCACATTCCCTACAGAGTCTACCCAGGTACTGTTTTAACTCTTTCGAGTTTGGAAACAAACTCTGTGCTAGCAGAGTTTCCAGAAACTACAGCTTAGAGAGAGATTTTCCATCAACTGAATTTGCTTTCATAAAATGGCAAAAAGTATTTTCCTTTCACTGAATCTGTTTAGAAGAAGTTGAGCAAAAGCTTCCTCCTCTTTCCTTGACCAAGTGACAGAACACACATATAGTGGGAAGCATGGTGAATTATCCCTGCTCCCACCCTATATCCCCCTCCCTGCTAAAGAAAAGGTAGCATTTAGATGGGTTCATCTTGTGACATTTGTTGAACTTGTGTCTGAAGGTATCACTCTTGTGTCTGAAGGGAAAAATCAGGACCATGCTTTTTGGCAGAAATGCTTTCTCTTGCCAGTGACTTTATTTTATTTTATTTTTTTGTTTTTTTTTGAGACAGGGTTTCTCTGTGTAGCCCTGGCCGTCCTGGAACTTGCTCTGTAGACCAGGCTGGCCTCGAACTTAGAGATCCACCTGCCTCTGCTTCCCGAGTGCCGGGGTTATTTGCCACCACTACTGCCCACCTAAATAGCCAGTGCTAGTCTCCCAGTCCATGGGACTCAAACCCAGTCTCCCACAGGACAGGCAGGGATACTCACCCCTGTACTAATGAGGATGACTGTCTCTTGCCGGTGATTTTACTGTCTACAAAGGCACGAGTCTTGGTATCTTGCTGTGACTCTGGAATGAACTTTGATGTTTTGCAGTTTATCCCCCTAAACAGAAAAAAGGCTGGACTTTTTTGAGTACGGCTGTTGATGCTGGTTGACCCTCAGGCAGATTATTCACTGCTCAGGTCCTCTTCTCTTCCTCTCCCTGGCTTGGTTCTCTCCACCTCGGCAAAGTACATGCGTGACTGGAAGAGTGGGAGCTGCTCATTGTCTTTTGCACTTGGGAGATGACATGGGTTAGTCAGAAGAGGTCTAACTTGATTGGCTAGGGCCCGGTAAAGCCTGGCAACAGCATCCTCTGGTTACTTTAGGGCCAGGGGGATTGGAACAGTCTCTTCAAGGTGGACAGGTGGCCTCTGCTTGGAAACACAGGGCTCACTTGTCAGATCCTGACACTGTGGTACATGCCCTCCTTCTCGTTTAATATACATGTATATTAAATGTATGGATTATATATGTTAAATATAAGGAATGAATATATACACACGTATGTGGAGAGAGCGGTTATAGTTACATCATTTCCCCCTTCCCTTTCCTCCTCCCATACCCTCTCATATATCTCCTCCCCACCTCCCTGCTCTCTTTCAAATTCATGGCCTCTTTAGTTGCTGCTGCTGTTGTTGTTATTGTTGTGTGTGTGTTTTACTAATACATAAACACCACCTGCTCAGTACATAATGGTACTTGTATGTCTATGTTTTCAGGCTGACCATTTGGTATTGGATAACCAGTTGGTGTGCTCTTCCCCGGGGCAGACTGTTTCTCCTGCTCCCAGCATTCCTTAGTTGCCTGGAGTTGTCTACCTTCGAAGCGTCTCAGGTTTTTCCCTTCCACATTAGCTTGTCTGTTGGTGTTGTCCTTGTTCAGCTCATGCTTAGGCAGCTGTGTTAGTGAGATTTCCAGGTGTAGCTCCTGACATTTCTAGAAGACATAATCTTACAGCAGACTCCCTGTTCCCCAGGCTCTTAGAGTTTTTCTGCCCCCTCTTCCATGGTGACCCCTGAGCCTTAGATGCTGGAGTGGTATCATAGATGTGTCTGTTAGGACTGGGCTCCGACTCTGCATTTTGATTGGTGTGGTTTTCTGTAGGGGTCTCTGTCTCTTGCAAAGAGAAGTTTCCTTGGTGAGTGAGGACTACACTTACCTGTGGGTATAAGGACAAATATTTGGAATGTAGTTAGTCTGCTGCATGCCCCCTTTTTGAGGTGCTGGAGAAGGAACCCAAAGTCTCGCTCATGCCAGGCAAGTACTGTACCTCTGCGCTACGCCCCTAGCCCATCCCATCCCTAACTGTGCCTTCTCTTCAGGGTCATTCTCTGTGCCAGGTTTCCGCAGGTGCTCGGTGTGTCAGTGTGTGTGACATTACAGTGTCATGGCGACTCTATGGAAGTGGGGAGAGCCTTTTTGATGACCCAAATTCCTTTCTTCTGGGTGGAGAGTGAACCTTTCTACACAGTACTTGTCACACCTAGGGAGCCTCGTGGTCTTTCTTCCAGCTTCTGGTTTGACAGGTTAGAAACACGTCATGGAACCGGGGCCAGTCAGGGCCGAGGGAGTGGTCCTGCTCCCCTGCCTTCCTCCATCTGTTGGGTGACAATGTAGGAGGCAGCCTTACTCGCTCTGCCAGCCTGTGCTGCCCACAGAAGGGGAGCTCGGGTATGCAGATGCTGACCTGGCTCTGCCCATTGGGTTTGATCTCTCAGTGGCAGCTTCCTGTGTCCATCTGTGGGCAGTGAGCCCCCTTGCATCTTAAGGACAGTCTAGGAAGGCCTGTGGTACAGTGGTTTGCTGTCTTTGACGTGGGAAAGGGCCATGGAGATCTGCTCTCCAGCTTTTCTGCTTTAGTAGTTCTCCAGGAAATGTTGGCTTCCCTTGGACTTAACCTGGAAGAAGCATTAGTCATGCCAAGGATGGTAGATAGTCGAGATGAGCGGGTAGTGATTGATTAGCTAGGGTCTGGCTGACTGTGGCTGATCTGGCTGTTGTTAGCACGGTGTAAGTAAGAGTAAGTAGCAGGGATGCATCCTGGGAAGTTTGAGGGCCTTCTCCCTCTGAGGTGCCAGAGTGTTGCAGCCACTTTTGCGGGTGGTTGGAGAGATAAGAGAACGTGGCCAGTGGACCAAACTGCCTTAGAGTCCTGTCTTTGCCTCCTCCCGTGACCCAGGCCCTGTCCCGTGACCCAGGTCTTATCCTGTGACCCAGGTCCTATCCTCTGACCCAGGCCCTGTCCTGTGACCCAGGCCCTATCTGGAGAACCCTGTCCTTCCAATTGTAGTCTCGCTCTGCCTGGGCTTTGGGCTGTGCTAAGCTTAGCCTCCCAGCAGTGCTTGAAGCAGGAGATACAGTAAACTTCTGTAAGCTGCTGGAGGGAAGAGTCGGGGCTATAGGAGTTCACAGCTCTGCTAAGAGCTGGATGTGATGGCTACCTGGGAATGTATAAGTTTCCATGTTTCTTTCCTACCCTAGAGAGTGCTGACACCCTCTTTCCCTCCCTCCCTTCCTCCCTCCCTCTCTCCCTCTCCCTCTCTTGCTCCCTCCTTCCCTCCTTCTTGATTTATTTGTGGTTGTTGTTGTTGTTGTGTGTGTGTGTAAGTCCAGGTGGGCAGCACTCGTGTGGAAGCCAGGGGTCAGCCGGCAGGACTCCTCCTGCTTCCTTTCTGTGGTTTCCGGTGATGGAACCGAAGTCTTTAGGTCTGCACTCCAGGCCCCTTCGCTTGCTGAGCCATCTGGCCAGCTCTCAGCACCGTTTCTCCTGGCCCTTAGGACCATTTCCTAGTTGATTGTGAGTCCTCTTCATTTTCAGTAAATGTATGTATGCAATTTTTGTTCTGAAACTGCAGGTTGTGGAGGCGTCGTCCTTAAGCTGGGGCACCAGGATAAAAGGCTTCATCGCATGTTTTGCCGTAGGAATCCTCTGCTCACTGCTGGTAAGAAGAGTGCCTTCCATCCTTCCTGATTCTCCGCTCTATTCCTTTCCTTTTGCCCGCTTTTCTCTTTGCCGGGTTAGGGGGCGGGGAGATAGGAGGCGGGGAGGGCAGCTGTGTGGCTCTGGTGGGCGTGGCATTGCTGTGCTCACATGTCCTGTGCTTCCTCTTCTAGGGTACTTTCCTGCTGTGGGTGCCCAGGAAAGGACTGACCCTCTTTGCGGTCTTTTACACCTTGGGGAACATGGCATCAATTGGGAGGTAACCTTTTTCTTTTCTCCTTTTTCCAACCTTGCTGTTTATTGGATGATAAAATGTCCATCGTATTTGAGGGAGGAGGGAGAAGAAGGATGCTTCGTATCTTTAAGGAGTTGGGAAGAAGGAGGAGTTTTGGCATGTATCACGTTCGTATCCTCTTATTGCAAAACATCCTGTATCTTAGTTTATCTTTCGCCCCTGGGAGAGGGCAGAAAGCGGGTCACCACTTCTTCACCTGTGAGGGAACCACAGCACAAAGCATGGGGATGGTTTCCCCAGGCACACGGTACGGCCAACCCTCCTGTGCTGGTTTCCCTGTCCTCAGAGACTGGCTGCAGCTGATGCTTCTGACAACCATGAGGCAGGTGAGGGACTGTGCGCCTGAGACCTAGTTACTGTGTAGTGCCGGACTATCCTGGACTTGAGGACCAGGCTCCTGTGTCAGGGCATCTGATGGGTGCCTTCCAGGGGAGGTTAGCCATTCTGCCTGCTTCAAGTGCACACGTAGCTCGAGTTGACCGCCTGATGCATCAGGCACACCTGTGCAGACAATGCCAGGCCTGCCTCTGGTGGGAAATGCTCGCCTGGCCCTATCAGAATGGACTTCAGGAACCTGACCGGGCCATCTTTCCTTCCCTGTCCCTCTCCCCCATCATGTTTCTATAAATGACTTCAGAGTCCTGTGGGGAAAAGGGTCCAGGAGTACAAGTTTTCCGCTGTTAACTCAACCATAATAACTCAGTTGCTCTTGTCTTTTTTTAAAATATTTTTAAATATTTTTCTTTTTTTTGTATATGAGTCTTTTGCCAGCATGCGTATCTGTTTGCCACACATATGCCTGGAGCCTGCGGAGGTTGGAAGAGGGTACCAGATCCCCTGGAACTGGATTTAGATACAGTTGTGAGCCACCATGTGAATGCTGGAAATTGAACCTTGGTCCTCTGCTAGAGCAGCCAGTGCTCTTAACCACTGAGCCATCCCTCCAGCGCCGCTGCTGTCTGTTTTACTTGGCTTTCTTCCCCATCGCTGTGGCCATTTATCCCCACTGATTGATTTTGGAGTCATTGGGTAAGCCCTGTCGCCTCTGCTGGACTCAGAGACTACAAAAGACAGGCACACTGGATCTCTGTCGCCAGCGAGGCAGTGAGACACGGACCCGTGTCACAGCGGATAATGTGCAGAGAGGCTCTGTGAGGGCCGACAGCGGGTCGGGGACGGTTTCCCAGCAAAGGTGGCACCTGGACTGCTCAGCTTTGTCCATCTCCTCTACCTCAGCTACTCCATCATATTCTGTTGGGTTGCCACACCCCCTTTTGGCCCCCCTCCAGGCTCTTTTGTCCTGAGCTATGGGGCCCTTGTGTGAGCCCCCCCTATGGCTCCCTGCCCCCCTCTCTGCAGGTGGAATCCAGACTTGGTGCTTCTTCCCAGGCCAGTCTCTCTGTCTGTGGTCCTCCCCATCTCTGCTCCCCACTTGTCATTGGTTAAATCCTGCCTCTAATGTCACCTCGGGTGAAACTCTGCTGATCACCACCTCTTTCCCGGGACTGGTGACCTTCTCCTCCAGGGTTCCTCCTGTCCCATCTCTATTTCCGTGCCAGCATGGGTAGCAGTGACTGATGTTGCCCTTGAGGCTTTCTCAGGTACTAGCTTTTGTGGGTTTGCTTTGGGGCCCCCAGTATGGGTTCAGTGTACAGAGTGAGCGTAATTATACAGATATGTTGCTTTCTCCAAAAGAACTCTTTAGCAGTTCTTGATGGGACAGACTTCATAGCACAGCAGCGGGGAAACAGTGGAGGGCACGTTGTTATTTCGTGGTGTTACTAGGAGTTTCTGACTTTACAAAGATTCTATTCATACACGTGTGCCTTGAGTCTGCTGCTCACTCTGTTCGGTGAGGAACCTCTGAGCTTGGAGACTTGAGCTCAGAAAACAGCTTAACTTCAAAGAGGGGCAGACATATTGTCAACAACACAAAACTGTGCCTTTCGTTGAGTGTTGGTAGTTAATGACATCTGCTGTCACTTGTATGGAGTGCCAACTGTAAGGAGCGCCCACTGTTTGTCACTTGGGGTGCACTTCCTCGCGACCCAGAAAGTGTGACTAAAACCTGGTGCCTGTACTTGATGTGGTAGGTGCGTGTATCCGCTCACTAGTGATCACTCCCCTTAGCCGGCCTCCAGTGTCCTTCATACAGATTCACGCTAAGGGTGCCTTTAGAACAGATGGGGTTAAGCACCAGCTCTTTGGATCCCTAGCTGTGTGATCTCAAATAGGTAAGCTCCTCTCTCCCTTTCATAGCTCTGAAATAGGAACAGTGACAGCCATCTCAGAGTCGTTGAGGGGCTGAAGTGAGTGCTGTATGTACACAGGACGTTTAGCAAGCATCCACCTGTGGTCGATGCTGCTCTTACCATCATTAAAATTCCTGGAGAGTAGGAAAGCAGAGAAGTGTATGAACGCAGAGAAGTGTTTGTGTTTTTTGTTCCATAAACCCGAGCTCTTGGTTTGTTTCTGTGGGTAGGTGGTCAAGGATGCAGAGTCACCCCTCTCTCCACAGTCAGACCCACGTGCACTTACGGCCCTGCTCTTCTATCAGTGGGGCGACCTTGGTTATGTAACCCTTGGGCTTTCTCCTCCTCTCTAAAATGAATGTACTAATTGTTCCTACTTCATAGGCCCTCGATGGATCAAATGAGGACAGTGCACAAAAGCCTGCAAGGCCAGTGCCTGGCAAGAGCCGCTCCTTCTGATGCTGTTCCCGTTTTCGCCACAGGAGCTCTTGGGGAGGTGGCTGGTGCGCCTCTGCTCTGCCCCTAATGGCTCCTGTGTGTGTTTGCCTCTTAGTACCATCTTCCTCATGGGGCCAGTGAAGCAGCTGAAGCGCATGTTTGAGCCTACGCGTCTCATCGCCACCATCCTGGTGCTGGTAAGGACAGGCGGCTTGGGAGGTGGGAGCCTGTCCTCTCTTTCCCTTTTTAATCCTGGGGATTAAACATGCTCTCAGGCATACGGGGCTTCATAAGTTGTCCAGTTTCTTTCTTCCTTCCTTCCTTCCTTCCTTCCTTCCTTCCTTCCTTCCTTCCTTCCTTCCTTCCTTCCTTTCTTCCTTTCTTTCTTTCTTTCTTTCTTTCCTTCTTTCTTGCTTTTCTCTGTGTAGCCCTGGCTGTCCTGGAACTCACTCTGTAGGCCAGGCTGGCATTGAACTCACAGAGATCTGCCTGCCTCTGTCTCCAGAGTGCTGGGATTGAAGGCATTAACCACCACCACCTGGCTTGTAAGGTTTTATTTCTATCCCATCAACACAGGCTGTCTTTCTTTTTTTGACCCAGTTATCCATATAGCTGTGAAAATCTTTCCAGACCCCATTCTCATAATTATCAGTATTGTGAGGTTTGAACTTGATTGGCATACTTCTAATTTTAGTTTAGTTTGTGGGTCTCGCATTCATTCACACAAGAATGTTCTCTACGGCCATGACTGTGTTTGCTATTTATTTACATCTTTTCAGAGCGCAGTGCTGGACACAGAGTGTTTAGGGCACACTGATTAAGGGATGATAGAGGAGTACGAAGGAAGGTGTGGAAGGTGGCGGGAGCAAGCACTGTTTTTTCCAGCTTCAGATGTGGCTGGCCTGACTGACAGCTCTGTAGTGGAAAGACTTTCTAAGAAAGGACGCAGGGCGGTGTCAGGTGACAGGTAAAGAGATAGCGGGCCTCCTGGCTGTGGGGCTGACATCTCATGGTGACCTTTGTTCTCACACACCTTTCCCACTCCAGAGCTCGGTCACAGAGAGAGGCTGGTGGCCAGCTTGCTCTTGTGCCTTGAATGAAAAGATTGATGAGTGAATGACCGGTCCAGGAAGGTGCTTTCATTTGCCGGCATTTAGGGAGAACTTAAAATAGAAGCACGGTTTTTCCCTTTCCAGTCTGCGTGTGTTTTTATTGTTGCGTTGGATTTCTTCTCCCGACACGGTCGTTCAGGTGGGTTAAGTGCTTTGAACCACGTTGAATTAATTAGTGTTTCCTCTTCTTCCAGCTGTGTTTTGCACTAACCCTGTGCTCCGCCTTTTGGGTAAGTGTGAACTCTAGTCTTCTGGGACCTTTTTGGTTTAGGTCCCTTGTCACACTTTCCGGTAACTGTGTCCTTTTTTTTTTTAGTGGCATAAAAAGGGGCTGGCGCTCATCTTCTGCATTTTGCAGTCCTTGGCCTTGACCTGGTAAGCAGCATCAGTGTCCCGGCCCCACCCCCAGCCCTGCCTTTGACTTGCGGAGGGGAAAGGAGAGAAAACCCGTGTGTTGTGGGTGGGAAGGTTAGGAGAACACAGACGCTCTTGAATTGAAGAGTTGTCGGTAATGCAGCAGGCGTCAGGCTTCAGAAGCCAGCCTGTTGCCTTGGCCCACTGCCAATAGATGCCATTAGCGGTCTTGAGTGGTCGCCAGAGGCCTCGGGCCACGGCATTTTTGCTGAGCTCACGGTCAGTCGTGAGATGTACACATATTACTCAGCTACTCATGTCCGGTAAGTGGGATGACAGTGAAGGTATTATAAAGGCTGGTAAAAAGAGGCCAGGACTCAAATGGACACATCCAGAGAAGGATGCTGCTGAGAGAATCAGTGACTGTGGTGGGGTGACCATTCCGTAGAAAGATGAAGAGGGCATTGTCAGCTGAGCTGAGGGAGCGGTAGCTAAGGAAACGAAAGCCCATGTGGCTGTGGGCTCAGCATCCTCACTGGAGGTGGGCCGGCTTTGGGGAATTTCAGGTGAGGGTTAGGAAATTGTAACTCAGAGGCCAAGTATAATAAAAGGGTGACCAGGCACGGCTTTTTAAAACCAGGAATGGAACTGTAGATTCTTGGTAATTTAAACCTGTGTTTAACATCCAAGGGAGAGGTGTGGTGGCGTGTATCTGATCCGAGGCATTTCTGTGTGACTTTGAAAGTTTAATCCACGAGTTAGGATGTCCGTCGGAATGGTTTCAGTACAGTGTGACTAGTCTATTTGGGATGAAAGTGTCTGGTAGGATACAGAGAAAAGGGAGCCTGTGGGCATTTCAATAGACTTCTCCTGGCCAGTGAACACCTGGTTAGTAGAAGTGGATCTTGGGAATGTAAGCTGGATGGCATCTGCCCTTTGGAACTTTGACCTTCTGAAGAAATACTCTTGTCAAACTGCTGCCTCAGACTTGACCATGCTCACAAGTTAAGCATGGGTGCGTGGAAAGTGGAAAGTGGAAGGTGTGGAGAAGAATGGTGGCCTGGTTTCAGTGAGACACATTTTGCCGGTAGATACGACAAGGCCTGGCTTGATGGCTTGTGTTTCTAGAGTGGCCTCCTTCTGGGTGCAGAAATTGGAACCTTCATATACACAGCTCTTTTGCAAGCCTCCATGGGGTCAGCGTTCCTCTGGCTCAGGAAAATGGTGAATCCTCTTGAACTGATGCTGCCCTTTGCTTCTCTTAAGTCCGACTGACGACACTAGGGCAGGTGTCTCTCCCCGGCATAGTTTCTGTATAGGCAGTGTGGCTTGGGTTTGAAGCATGGCACCACGGTGCATTCTCATCCATAGAATGGTAGGTGGTGGCTTTTTTTTTTCTTTTAATTAGTGGGAGCAGATAGAAACTTGATGTCACCTGGGTTGAAGGGAAATTCTCCTGAGAACTTACAAAGCATTAGATCACAACTGATGAGGATTTTATTTGCAGTTTCCGCACACAGGACTCTGACGTCATAGGGGCATCTGGAATCTGCCTTTTTTAGTGGTCACTGCTGGCTCATGTGGTTAAGGGGTACCACAGCAAGGCTGGGGTCAGAGGGGTGGTTGTTATATGGGCCTTTTGCAGTCCTCTCTGCCACATAGATACTTACAGGGCCGAGTGTTTATGTGATGTGTGAGTACACACGGGTCGGGGTAAATCACGGGGTGCTCCTGGAGCCTCAGGGGCTTCCTGATGGGGAATTTTCCACCTCTTCCGTTCAATTGATCTTGCTTTTCTTTTCTTTGTAGGTATAGCCTTTCCTTCATACCATATGCAAGGTAAGACTAACTATGTGTTTGGAAATAGATATCCTTTGATTTGTGAACCATGATGTGTTTATATAGGACTTTTAATTCTTAGAAGATCTATTTATTCTTATTTTAATGTGTATTTTGCCTGCATGTGTATTTATCTACCATGTGTGTACATTTCTTGTGCAGGTTAGAAGAGGGTGTTGAATCCCCTGGAACAGTATTAATAGACGGTTGTTAGCTACTGTGTGGGTGTTGGGAATTGAACCTGGTTCCTCTAAAAGAGCAGCAAGTGCTCTTAACCACTCAGCCATCTCTCCAGCTCCTACATATGGACTTGAGTTTGGAGATTTTTAATTTGGCTGCAGGAAGCACATGCTATTTTATTTATCTGTATTAAAATTCTTTGAGCTAGTTAGGCACAGGTCATGAATCTACTTTATAGATTACTGTGATAAGATTGGTTCTCCTGATCTTATTATTCAACTAGTGATGTGTTGGCCAGACTATGAGTTCCTGGTGTTTGGGGCATCTACTCTAATAGAAAGTGCACTGATACTCATTAGTATTCCTTTAATTTGTAGCTTTGAGGTGATGGGGGTCCTGAGTGCATGCCTGTTTTCTTACAGGGGCTCACTCAGGGAAAATTTCAGAAGGGTCTAGAGGGAGAGCAGAGCCAGGACTCCCGAGGACCAGCGCTTCCTAGTCAGCAGTGTGAGCTTGGTGACTTGATTGACCACCAAGACCTCAGATGAGACTTTGATAAGTGGAGTGGGTATGGCTGGCTTATCCCCAGAGGCCGGGAGTTTGTTAATTAACTACTTTCAGTGGTGGACTTTTCCCAGTTAGTCACAGGACCTCTGGCTCTGATTCCATTCTAACGAAGCTACTTAACTTTATTCTTCTCAGTCATCTACTAGATAAAAATATTTTCCATAATTGTGTTGAGGAAGTGAAAAATTGTGCAGGGTCGACATTACATCTTACGCATTCCAGATCTCCTGCTGACAGTGATTTGAATGTGCTGGGGAGCAAGCTAACAAGCCCAGAAAGCGTACCTTCGTGCATGGGATATAACAGGAGTGTAACAGCTGTGAATACTGCCTTCGGGGCAGGGAGGAACTTACCCTGAGAAGAATATGGGCAGGGATTTCCCCAGGAGCTAGCTTGCTATATGAAATAAGCCAAGGTCTGCTATATTTGAGCATCTACTGAAGTATTTATCTCTTTGACAACAGTTTGACCATATTTGTAGGTCCCTAAACTACCTACGTAATTTACTGGGCCCAGCACAAGATGCAAATGTGGGTTCCTCCTTTTAAAGTGATTAAGAATTTCAAGATAGGGCATTAGAGAGATGGCTCAGCGGTTAAAAGCACCGGCTACTCTTCCAGAGGACCTGGGTTCAATTCCTAGCACCCACATGGCAGCTCACAACTGTAACTCTAGTTCTGATCTGATACCTTCACACCAATGCACATAAAATAAAGTTATATAAATTATTTTAAAAAAGGAATCTCTTTTTTTTTCTTTTTTTTTTTTTTTTCTGTTTTTTTTTTTGAGACAGGGTTTCTCTGTGTAGCTTTGCGCCTTTTCCTGGAACTCACTTTGTAGTCCATGCTGGCCCCGAATTCACAGAGATCCACCTGCCTCTGCCTCCTGAGTGCTGGGATTAAAGGCGTGCGCCACCACCGCCCAGCAACGAATCTCAAGATAGTGACATTAAGGCATTAGACTGGAGTGGACCTTTCTAAGTCCAGAGCCTCGTGTAGTCTCAGTTACCTAGGAAACTAGACTTGGGTTCCGAATTGATCAGGATGGGTGTGGACGAGTGATGGAAACATAATTCTTTTTTGAACCCGTGAGTTTTTGTGTTGAGCAGATGGGTCTTTCCTCTAGTAGGGAGGGAATCAGAGTGAATTCTGAGTCTGGCTTCTAGAATAGCTTTCTCTAGTTTCCACAGAACAGATTATACAGCTGAAAAGGTTCTAAGACCAAGTGAGTTTGTAAAATAGGTTAAGCAAAATGAGGTGGGCTCTGGTCAACGTTCTAGGTCCCTCAGTGTGCTGTGTGGCCTGTCAGGAGGGGACCGATTTTGGCAGTAAACCCCCTTACCTTACTTACAGAGTACTCCTGGGACTTTAGCATGCAGCAGACCTGGACAAATCCTTCACTAGAGTCTTTTAATATTAAAAAAAAAAAAAAGACACATTCTCTTATGTAGCCCATGTATGCCACAAATGCACAGTCCTTTGCCTCAGCTCCCTGAGTGCTGGCGTCACAGGCATGTATCGCCATGCATGGCTCCTTGATGGCTTTTGATGTTCAGTTCATTGCCTGCCCAGGTAGTTGGGTTCACTCACCTCATGTGACCCTCGAGTCCTTAGTACCCGGACACCGAGAACACAGCATCAAACCTGGAATGGGGCGAGGGTGAGAGCTTAGGGGTTCCTTCATGCAGACAGGTGTGCTGGTGGGAGAGAAGAGGTCTGCTTGGACAGATAAGCTCTCTGCTGAGCACCCACACTTTGCTTCCCTGAGCTACACTGAGTCCCAGGCACTAGGTGAGCCGGTTAGTAATGCTCCGTGCCTGTACCCAGCTCCCTGTGCCAGGGAGCTCCCGGAGGTGTTCCTTCACAGTCTTCCGCTGCTTCCTGGCGCTGTGGCCCTCGTGACCACACCTGAATGATGTGATTGGCTGATGTAAAAATAGAGCAGCGTGTACTAGTCCCCAGGACCAATCTGCATTTGACAGATGAGGAATTTCAAACTCCAGCAGGACCAGTAATGTGCCCAGGAGAAAACTGCTAAGATACATTGGCACTGCCGTCTGATGACTGGGTCTGACCTCGCTCTTTTCGCCTTCAGCAGCATGGTACCCTGGGAAATGCTCAAGGAAGGTCTTTGCCATTGGGAGCCCTGGGAGTGATAACGTACCATTCATCTCCGTGTTTCTCCTTCCTAGGGATGCTGTGAAGAAGTGCTTTGCTGTGTGTCTTGCGTAGGACACTGCCAGTCTGCAGAGAGCACCGTGGACCGAAGCTGGTGGACAGTTTTGTAAATACCCTCTCAACTCTTGTCTCACAGACATGTGCCTTTAACTTGCAGCAATGCGTTGCTTGCAAATTTGGACATTTTTGAGGGTTGCCATGGGAGCAGTCATGAATCCTAAACCCTAATGGCTGTAGCACAATGTGGGGTTCTGTGGCTAGTGTGGGGCACTCTTCCTCATGACCATTTTCCTCTCTGGATGGTTTCACTCTCTGTTTAATCATAGCAGCAGATAAGCCCCAGGAGCCACTGATCCCCAGGCCACAGCAGGGAGGTCTACAGAGCTTATAGGAATACAACAGGACGTGCAGAATTTTGTTGAAGATTTGCCCCTCACCAAGGAAATGGTTGTCACTGCCTCACAGAGTGTCTTCCCTGGTGTTTGAGAACAAGTGATTCTGTCCTTCCTACGCCCCTGGAGATCCCGCCCTGGATACATTGTTTCCCTCCTATGATGCGCCATCTTGCTGTTCTCAATCACAACTGGCTATGGAATGTGTTTTCTGGTGTTCAGTGTGGATTCTTTCTCTTGTCCTCACCCTCCCATGTCTCTTGTCTTGTGACCTTGGGCCACTGCTTGATTGAGAGTGAGGTAGTGACCTAAAGTACTCTTTCCTTCTGGACAAGAGCCACCAGAAAGTGAAAAACCTTCATGTTCCCTGCTCTGTTTATTTTTCTTCATTATTTATAAACATTTACTTTTATTGATTTTATTTTCCGTTCTTCGCTGGAGTTGGGCCAAAGAAAGTGCATGGGAAGACCAATCCCTTGTGGGGCTGGCAGGAAGTAGGTGGGCATGCCTGCCAAGCAACTTCTCAGTGCTCCGGCATTGGCACTCAGCCTGTGCTGTGGACACTGGAAAGACACCAGCCTGCAGGTGGTCATGTCTCAGCCTGATGACTAACCACACACACACACACAGTGTTCTTGTGTTGGTGATCTCTCTGGTCCTCATGAGAGCCCTGCGAGGAAGCAGGATTGTTGTCTCACTGTGTAGTCGAGGAACCGAAGCTCAGATGGGTTTCCATGTCCCCTGAGGCTACAGCTGTGGCAGGGTCAAGCCAGAGTCTGGATGCCTCGCTTCCAGTCTCCGTCATGATGACATGGCTCTGGTTAAACCTGCCATCATCATAAACCTTTCCTTGTTTTCATCATCCTAATCCGTACCTTTTCAGGTTTCAGCGTCTATGTTACCTGTGTCCTCTTCTACCTGCTCCTCCATCTCAGTTTTGGCAAGCTTCCCTCTGTATCTGAGTGTGGTCATCCCATGTTCCCTTTCAGCTGCGCTGTGCTTCCCGGGCCTCATCAGAGTTCCTGGTAATCTAGGTTTGCCCTCCGCTCTTTGTGCAAGGCCAGATCTTCTCTGGTCCCTGCCTTGCTACCTGCAGACCAAAGGCAGTGAGAGCTCATCTCTTTGGTCGTGGCCAGTTGCTGAACTGTGGCTAATAACTCTGTCTTTTCTTCTGAGATGGAGAAGAATGGATAGGCTCAATCAGTCCAGATTCTTGCCATGCTGTTGAAGGCACCTGTGAGGTCTTCAACCTGTCTTCTTCAGTCAGGAAGGAAAATCATGTGCTATCCTCTGGCTTTGTGAGGCACAATCATGTCCGAGGGGCTTTGGGAATCAGTTCAGGTCGCAGAAGCGCTCAGTGTCAGAAGGGGCGTGGAGAGTTTAGGGGTGTTCCTAGCTGACCCGAGGCTAGGCTAGCTGCTTCAAGTTCCAACTATCCTGGAGTCATGCACGTAAATAAGGCTGACCCCTCCATGCCTTTTTCAGTGACCAAGTACCTCTTAAAGATGTTAGAAGGGCCGAATAGCATAGCCATATGAATGTGGGCTTAGAAAACAAGCAGGTCTGGGTGTGAGCTGTGGTCCAGTCACATGTTGGTTGAGTCCTTTGAAGTTGCCCAATGTTTGGTTCCTCAGTTTCTCTGTTTCAAAATAGCAGGCTGACAAATGGTGCTGGGTTGTGGGAGGATGCAGTGAAAGATGACTGGATCAAGTGCTTGGTCTGGGGCCCAGCAGAGATCTCTGCATAGCTCCTAAAGGTGACAGGATGAATGCTTGGCCATTAATTTGTCTGGCGTACTTAATACTGTGTGTATTGCTGTAGACTCTGCCATACATTATCTCATTCAATGGTCACAGGGACTGCCAGGCAAGAGATGCTGCCTTTATCCTTATGAAGTAGTAGCTGCTTCAGATGCTCTTACCAGCGGGGATCAGTGAGGAGGCTCTGGGGGTGGGGTGGGGGGATGGCATCTTGGATAAAAGGCTTTTGGGCCTAATTCCTACAGCCTGTGGCCAGTTTGTCTCAACAGCTTGACTCTGGACACATTGAAGCATCTTTTGGATGGCTGTCCTCCAGTATCTTCCAGACTCCCAGATTATTTCTTCAGTTGCCTTATCCTTTGGTTATTTCCTTTCCTGCTTTTACTGGACTGTGGAAGGAAGAAATCCACTTCAAATCTGCTTACGTCTTGTACCAGGCCAATAGCATCGGTTAGAAGCAACGTAGTGAGGGAGGCTTTAGTGAAGAATTTAGGGCCTCTGACGCCGGCTGTTGGTGGTGTCTGTTTCCTCCCCCCGCTTCACACCCCCCAGTTCGCTGCCTGGTGAGGGGACACCACTGTTTTGGGGAGTGATGGAAACTCTTGAGTGACCTTTGTAGAGGGGAATGTGGTACTCAATCAGGGTGTCTTTCCAGGTTTGGGGAGCCTCTGGCCTGGGTGCTGCCTTCCCTGGGCTGTCATCTGTGGAGTGCTACACTCAGAGGACCACTGTGCCTTCTGAACCAGGAGAGTAGCTTAGGGTCCCCTTGGCCCCCCTCTACTCCTGGCTGACTGTTGGGACGCTGTGAAGGTGGGTCCCTGCTCACTGAGTTCTGTCTCTCACAGCTGACAGGCTTTCCCTTTCACAGACTAATCCCTGAGGAAGCTTTTGTCTCTCCTGCTCCTCAGTATGGCTGCTGCTCAGGCCCCAGCTCCAGGCATCCTGTCTTGGGGAAGGGTGAAATACCATTCCCAGCTCATCATTTTCACTACAGAGATTGTCTCAGTGCTGGGGTGTCTGTTACTCTCATGGTGACTTTGTGGATTATGTCTTAAGTGCCACCTTTCTTCCACATAGTCACTGTAGGCTGAGAGAGCAAGGAATGAAATCAAGGAATGCATTCCATAGGAAAATTACTTTTTAATACTCCATTAGAATAGATAGTTAGCTGGGCAGCATCTGAAGCAGATGTGGAGGGCTGCGCTGGTTTGGCTTCTGATATCCCTGTGAGTGACGAGTGCTGCAGTATGGGATGAGGCTTGGTGAAATGAACTGGGCAGCCACGGTACACCTCAGGACTGTGGATTTCCTTTCCTCTGGGCACCTTATGCCCACCCGTGTGTTTACTTTTCCTCCGGTAACGTCTCGTTAGAATCAGTTACACACACTTTGAATTCACAACCAAGCCTAAAACTTATTTTCAGCTAGTTAAGAAAAAAAGAAAAATCAGTGTTTAAAACAATATAAAGATGTTTGCTAGGCCTTGTGGCAGTTTTTTGTCTTGTTTTTAATGTCCAAGTTCTTTTTTTTTTTTTTTTAGTTTTATTTTGGGTTTTGGTTTCCGGTTACCTTCTTTTTTAAAAGTGAATGAACCTTAGCCGAAATTCAGTGCAAATGCACATCTGTGTAACTCTTTGTATCTAGAAGTCCAAATTGTTTAGAAAGTTTGATTGAAAAGGTTGCTGAGGAGGTGATCTTGAAGTGCCTGCCGATTCATGATTCTATGATGTGTTGAGATCTTGTGTATGGGTGGGCTACTGAAGGGGGAAGTGAAGCGGGGTTTGTTTGATCCCAGCTCACTCAGGGTGGGGGTGGGGGGATAGTCCTACTTGGAGTATTTCCAGTCCTGCATCAGCTTTGCCCATCAGTTTGTCGGGTTTCTGTTGCAGTGTGGCAAACGGTAAGCGGCAGAGCCTTCGGTGATGCGCTGACAACATACAGTGACGTCCATTCTAGCAGGAGCTAGTAACTGACAGCTAGGCTTGGAGGTGCGCAAAGTGAGTCTCTGCAGGTTGACTGATCTGAAACCAAAGAGAGAAATTCTATTCAAGATGGGAGAGGTCAGCCCATGGCATCTTAACAAACAATAATCTGTGCTTTGTACTCAGAATAATGCCACTACATGGAATAGAGTGCTTGCCTAGCGTGCGTGGAGCCTTGAGTTCAATCTCTGGAAATGCGTACACTGGCTATGGTGATACATGCCTGTAATCCCAGCACTCGGAAGGTGGAGGCAGGAGGATCTGTAGTATATTAGACCCTATCTTTAAAAATAAGGAAACTCACTGGGCGGTGGTGGTGCACGCCTTTAATCCCAGCACTCGGGAGGCAGAGGCAGGCAGGTCTCTGTGAGTTTGAGGCCAGCCTGGGCTACAGAGTGAGTTCCAGGAAAGGCACAAAGCTACACAGAGAAACCCTGTCTTGAAAAACCAAAACCAAAA